CTAACTTTTTTGGTGAAAACGGAAACATAAAGACATTTATCACTTTGGCCATTTGCTATGTTTTCTGTTATTGTCTTTCCCTCCTCATTTAGTAATGGGCCTACACTGTACCTGGTCTTCCTTTCGCATCTTATGTATTTGTAAAATATTTTCTTGTTACCCTTTATACTGTTACCTAGTTTAACCTTATTTTGTGCCTTGGTCTTTCTAATTTTTTCCTGCATGCTTGGGTTGTTTTTTTTTTTTTTTTTAATATTCATTGTAATATGACCCAGTTTCCACTTCTTGTACGTCTCTTTTTTGAGTTACAGGTCATTGAAGTTCTGGTTAAGCCAGAGTGGCCTCTTACCATACTTTCTATCTTTCCTATGCATTGGGATAGTTTGTTCTTGTACTTGTAATAATGTCTCTTTAAAAAACTGTCAGCTCTCCTGAACTCTTTTTTCCCTTAGACTTGCTTCATATGGGATCTTACCTACCAGTTCTCTGAGTTTGCTAAAATCTGCCTTCTTGAAGTCCACTGTTTTTATTCTGCTGTTTTCCCTCCTACCATTCCTTAGAACAGCGTTTTTCAAAATTTGGGTCGTGACCCAGTACTGGGTCGCAGCATGTCAGGCACTGGGTCTCTCTGGTCAGCACTGCCAACCGGGTTAAAAGTTGGCGTTAAAAGTCCTCTTGGCAGTGCTGCCAAGCTAAGGCCAGCTAGTGCCTGCCTGCTCCAACACCGCGCTGCACCCTGGAAGCAGCCAGCAGCAGCTCCAGCTCCTAGGTGGCTCCGCACACTGTCCCCGCACCAAGCACTGGGGTCGGGGGGCAGTGCCTGCAGGTGAAAGTCACGCGAAGTCACTTGCGTGCCTCCGCCTAGGAGCCAGACTTGCTGCTGGCTGGTTCCGGGAAGCCTGCCTCTGCACCCCAGCTCCGGGAGCCACCGGAGGTAAGCCCGTACCCCAACCCCAATCCCCTGTCCCAGCCCTGAGCCCTCCCAAACCTGGAACCCCTTCCTGCACCCAAACCCCTCATCCCTGGCCCCACCCCAGAGCCTGCACCCCCAGCCCAGAGCCCTGACCCCTCCTGCACCCCCAGCCCTGAGCCCCCCAAACCCTGAGCCCCTCATCCACCCCACACCCCTCATCCCTGGCCCCACCCCAGAGCCTGCACCCAGAGCCCTGACCCCTTCCCACACCGCAGCCCTGAGCCCCCCCAAACCCAGAGCTCCTCCTGCACCCCAAACCCCTCATCCCTGGCCCCACCCCAGAGCCCTGACTCCCTCCCACCCTCCCCTGTCCAAACCCAGAGCCCCCTCCTACACCCATCATTCCCGGCCCCACCCCCACAGCCCGCACTCCAACCCTCTGCCCCAGCCCTGAGCCCCTCCCACACTCCATACCCCTCATCCCCAGCTCTGTTGGGTCACAGGCATCAACAATTTTCTTCAACTGGGTCCCCAGAAAAAAAGTTTGAAAACCACTGCCTTGGAATCATGAACTCTTATCATTTCATGATCACTTTCACCCAACCTGCCTTCCACCTTCAGAGTCTTATCTAGTTCCTCTATTTGTCAGAACCTAATCAAGAGCACATCTCCCCTAATTGCTTTCTCTACCTTTTGTAATAAAAAATAATCTACAACACATTCCAAGAACTTGTTGGATAATCTGTGCCCTGATGTATTATTTTCCCAACAGATGTCTGGGTAGATGAAGTCCCCCCTCACCACCAAGTCCTGTGTTTTGGATGATTTTGTTAGTTGTATAAAAAAAAAAAAGTCTCATCCACCTCTTCTTCCTGGTCAGGAGGTTTACAGTAGACTCCTATGTGACATCACCCTTTTTTTCTTCTTCCCCATTTTATCCTTACCCAGAGACTTTCAACAGGTCCTACTATCATCTTTGGTATACAAGGCAACACATCCATGCTTTTTTCTCTGCCTGTGCTTCCTGAAGAAGCTGTACCCTTCTATACCAATATTCCAATCATGTGACTTATTCCACCAAGTTTCTGTGATGCCATACGTATCCAGTCAGCCTTCAAAAAAATGGACAATGTGGATATGAATGTTCACCTCCTGCTAACTACTCTCAAAATGGTTCTTGGTAACTGTCGTATCAAGAAGTAAGCACTGCACCTAGACCTTGTATACACTACTGGTAATTGCAAATGCTCACATCGAAGCAGAACTCATATCTAAAGGAAGTTGCTCTAACAGGTAAGCAAAAACAAAAAGAAGCAGGCACTGTTATGATAGCCTGTCCACACCAAGAATGCATCCAGGGTGAAACTTGGTCCCATTGCAGTCAATGGAAATTTTGCTGTTGACATCAACAGAGCCACGCTTTCACTTATAGACTCTGTGTAAGCACTTATTAACTACAAAGGGCCATTTTGATATTGATTTTATACATTCTGAGTGATATTAAAACACAGTTGGTAGCAACACAAAAGTAACCACAAATCAATTGTGTAACCATAAAATAAAATGAATTCTTGAATTCTTATTGTGCTAAACTCATCACCTCATTGACAAACTGACTAAATCAGGCAATGTCTGACTCTAAACATACTACAATGTTCTATTAGTTAAGAAATCTACATAGCAATAAACTGCAGAGTCCATTTGGCAATTCCATAGTCTTCCACTAGACTCTTCCATTAGTCCAAAATATACTGGAATAGTTTTTCTTTCAAACATTCTTATATCCACCAGATTCAGTCCAAACCAAAATGATAAGTCCTTACTTGGGAACTTTAATCTTCAGCCTGTAAGGTCTTTGGCTGGTTTCTTAGTAGACGCTATAATCCTTTATGAAACAAAATATCTTGCTCTGCTACTGTTGCAGTAAATTTGGAAATATCATATAAAGTAGAATAAAACCAATTATCTTGAGTGTGAGGACTTTATTACAAGTACTGTCCTAAGTAACAGATGACCTTTTTGACCCCTTCTCATCGTCTCTACCTCTAAAGCCAGATAGACGGATGGCATCTGAGCATGAAGATAGACCAAGCATTCAGTCACTTGGAAGACTTAAAAAGTAACAGGTGTAATATTAAATATATATCAGAAGGGATTATTTCCTTTTTGTTCTCTTTCTAATACATCTGTGAATCCCAAATGTTTTTAAACATCTTCATCATACTTACCATCACATCATATAATAAGCTCCATTCTGCCTATGCCTGATTTTACAGAACTTTGAAATTTAAGCTAAAGTTTTTCTCTTTTTCTCTTATAGTACTGGTTACTCAGTCATCGTACAACTATGGTAACAGTATATTAAACTTGTTTCAGTGGTAAATCATTCTTTGCATATTTTACTGTAAAATAGTTTATTTCTTCAATAAATGAAATGAAAAGGATAAGGAGGAAGAATGTAAAAATATAGGTCATTTTATTGTAAATGTCCTCTTATAGTCATGGTAAAATCATTAATCATAATAAACTCATTTTGTCTAAAAGCAGAGGTAATACATTGGTCCATGTAAATCACTTTACGGCCTTGATGGAATGATGTTAGAATACCTAAATAGGTGCTGTAATAAATTTCCTCTTTTGGAACATTGTTTGGCAATGAAGGTTACGTAGGGGTGGGTGTGATTGGTGCCAACTGTTCATAAGAATAGTCTGCTTTTATTTCTGTAAAATGTATCGGAATACCATAAAGATGGGTTCCACACACCACGCCCCTCAGTGTCTGAATGGACACAGACATAGTGTAACTTTGGAACAATAAATGTCCAGGACACTTCTAGAATAAAATCCTAACTCCAGCTGCTTATAAGGTTTCCTGATATTTACAGGACTGAAACTAAAGAAAAATGAACACTGAAGGATGATTAATATATTGAACCTTTTAAAGTACTGTTTCTTTGAGAAGCAATTTTGGCATATTATATGCAGGTACATCAAATGTAAAACACAGTGGGTTCTACATATTCCATATTATGCCTTTTCCCCCCTAAACTTGGCTATGTATGTGATTTGGTCATGTACGTAGATGTGCTTAAATATAGCAATAATATATGATAGAAACATCATTTTATTTCACATATAAATAAATGATGTAGCCTGAGCAAGTCCTTATCCACTTATCCAAACATTGGCCAGTTACTGAATTCCTACAGCAGTCTGGCAATATAGATATACATCTGGCATTACAGAAAACAGAAGGGCTGTGAAATGTCATATATACAACCTAAATGTCCTCATAGAAGATTTTTCAGCAAGGCTTTAGGGGAAATTGGTGTCTTCCCCTTTTGTGTTTTGTCTTTTCAATAATCCTGTTTATAGTTAAGTAACTTGTGTGTGTGACTCCAGAATGAATCAAGAACATGCACATTAAAAACATACCAGACCAGATTCTCTACTTCAACCAATTTTTGTTTGACAGGGCAGAGAGAAGGGAGACTGTGAGACATCTGATGAAGTGAGCTGTAGCTCACGAAAGCTCATGCTCAAATAAATTGGTTAGTCTCTAAGGTGCCACAAGTACTCCTTTTCTTTTTGCGAATACAGACTAACATGGCTGTTCCTCTGAAACCTGTCAGTACTAGGAGTGACTCCCTGATTCTCTGTCTAGTCCCAAAGGACTGTCCATCAGCTCAAGATACTTGGGATGAAATCCTGGCCCACCTGAAGTTAAAGGCAAAACTTGCAGGGTTTCACCTCTGGTATGCAGTGTGCTCTGGCCATGTTCCTCCCCACCCATGACTGCAGCCCAATCCAGATTACACCAATTTTGTATCTACTGAGGATTTCCAGCTGGGGGTTGCTGAAAGTGTTCTCCCTTTTTGCACTCTCTTTCTCTGCCTGGAAAGAGAGCACAGCCAGGCAGAGAATCTACCCCATGTTCAATAAGTTAGAAGCTTATTAATTAGCTAATGTTTATAAAACTCCTGGAACATACAAAGCAGTTAGCATTTACTATTATTAAATAGAGCATTTTGTACATACTTAAAATCTACATACTAGCAATTTGTTCCAAATATTAACTATACTATTTACTTTAAAATATTTCCATTGTACCTTAAACAGCTTCTTGTGCTCTGATTTCTCAATGGCTTTGTAATTGGTGTAAATGCTCTTGCAGATCACAGCTTATGTAGTCCTGTAAGAAATGACAGAGAGAAATCTAGTCTGAGGCTACTGGAGTAATTTTGTACTGTTCTACAGAAAATGTGAAGTTTGATACAGATTTTAACCATGTGACAATCTGACACTGGTTCACAAGTTATTCAATCAAGTGCAAACTGAATAACAAATAATAATGATAATGATGATGCCTGGCTCTTACATAGCACTTTTGATTCATTTATTTCAAAGCTGTTTACAAAGGAGGCCAGTACTATCCCCATTTTATAGATGAGGAAACTGAAGCACAGGGAGGTAAAGTATCTTGCCCAAGGTGACCGAGCAGGCCAGTGGCAGAGCTGGGAATAGACAACTCATGTGCCCTGAGTCCCAGTCCGGTGCTCTACCTCCTAGGAAACATTGCCTCCCAAAGCAAATTATGAATAATAAACTTCTTTGTAGTCTAAACTGGATAAGATGGCATTGCTTCCTCTAAATGGAATGGCTATACTTAATCTTGCTTAAAAGTTAATTTTATTAATTTTTAAGATTAATGTGCCTTTCTGAAAAAAAACCCATAATACACATATGGTAATATCGCTATGCAATATGATGCTGCTAAGCTTGAATCCATGTCAAAATTCTCTGGGATCTTTGAGAGGTATGTGATGGACAATTAAAGTGGAATATATATAAAATTTAAAGGAACAGAATGATCAAAACTGCTTTTCCAATTTCCCAGATTCTTTAACTGTTACCACAGTTATCAGTTATCTAAGGGTATGTCTACACTACATTTAGACATTTGCAGCTGGCTCATGCCAGTTGACTCAGGCTTGGAGGGCTTGAGTTAAGCAGCTGTTTAATTGCAGTATAAACTTCCTGGCTCAGCCTGGAGCCTGGACTCTAGGACCCTGAAAGGTGGGAAGGTCCCAGAGCCCAGGCTCTAGGCTGAGCCCAGAAGTTCACACTGCAACTAAAGAGACCCACAGCCCGAGCCCTGTGAGCCTGAGTCAGCTGGCACAGGCCAGCCACAGGTTTTTAATTGCAGCACAGACATACCCTAAAAGGACTAGCAAGGATACAGGTATCTCCATCCACCCATTTGTACTAACTTTACTGAGAACAGATAAGGAAAATAAAATGCGTGCATAGCAATTGATAATTCTACAAAAGAATGTTCTATTTTGTAATTATCCAGAACTACTTCTTCCCAGAATGCTTATCTTTATATTCAGTCTCTATGAAAATAAAGACGATGCTTCCCTTTCAGTTCAGATTCTGCTGAAATTACCCCTCTTGAAGCCAGTGCAAAATGGCTTACAGTGATCAGCTTAGTATAAATACCTAGATAGATAAAGCGATTTAGAAATCAGATCCCTCAGGTTCCAGCCCCTGTAGTGGTACATGGTTCTTTTCCTCTTTTACCAGAAACAGTTTTTATTTAGTTTTGCTAATTCAAGGACAGAAAACAACACTTAAGCCAGGTAAAATAAAATGAAATTGTTTCATTCATTTCCTCTCAAGTATGAAGTTCTACTCATCAGCTGCTGATATAGATGGTATTTTTTCAGTTAGGATGTTCTGACTGAGTGTGCTTTATATTGCCTTCCTAACTAATAAAACAATTAGCTCTATGGAGCTGCTTGTTTGTTTCTCTAAAACAATTAATTAAATAATTCTTAAATCTTTTGCACAAACTCCTTGGTCATTAGTGTGGGTCACTTCAGACTTTAACTTGTTTTGTTCTTGTTTTTTTCCCCACTCATTCTATACCTGTTAATTTTCTTCTCTGTAGAAAGCTTTTTATTAATAATTTTTAACATATTTTACAGACCAATAGCAATAAAGTTTTATTTGATTCAGTAAAGCAATAAGCCACAACAGTCTCTTGGTGAATTTTGCCCGATCCCTTCACCAACACTGCTTACTAAAATTTACTTTAGTATGGCTTCTTGCAAATAGTATATGACTCCTTAATTTTAAAGTCCTTTAGAAGCCCTCTGAAACACATATTGTAGATGTGGCATATTATTAATGTGTCCTTCCCCCATGAAACATAGTACCTAGTGGATAAGATGGAACAGTATGAAAAAAGTTATAAAACTGTTTATTATCCTACTATTCTGAATATTTCCTGTTTGTAATCTCTTTCTCTCTAGGGCCCCGTATGCTATATGGAACCCCTTCTCTCTTTTTAAGGTTTAAAATGACACCTATCACCACTGTATCTGAGCATCTCACAAACCACAATCATAATGTATTTTTTTCTCTTCCCTCTCCCACCCACCCAGCAGATTTCTTGATAGCTTTATAGGTTTCTATGTGAGTGAGATACTTATTTCAGGAATGCTAAATCCCAGAAATTAAATTTGCATTTTAGTTCTGATTGTGCAACTCATGGTCTCCTGATGAGTTTTGTGAACTTAATCAACTTGTAATAGATTGTGGCATAGCAGTATGTGAGAGGGGGAGGATAAGAGTGGGAAGTGGCATGCCTGTAATGCTGAATGCTACGGAGGATTCTGGGCTAAAGAGAAATCCATAGGCATCCTAGGGACACTGCCTTAATTTAGAGCAGCCCTTGGGGGCAGTTAGTCAGTATACAGATGGTGTAAAGCCATTTTATCACCCCTTCCCCACACTGTGACTTCTGTGCACTCTCTCTCCCTCTCAGAAGACACAACACAGTATCTGCCCCAGAAACTTCAAGGTACAGATGGTGTGAACTCCCCTTGCTCAGATATTTAGAAGACTGTTGTTGAACTATTTTATGAATGTGTCCTGTCTCCTTACATGACACCTTCCCCTCTATCAGCTATGGATTTTCTATTCACTCATCCTCTTCATCTCACCAGAAATAATCTCTTAACATCCAATATTGTTTTCTGTATTCCCCTTAGTCTTGCCAAACTCCTCCCATATTTTCAGGAATGGTCCTCTTCTTCTGTAACTAATGCCCATAATTCAAGACCACTTAGGACATGTAATAGATATTATCTTTTATTTTGAAGCCTTATTCTCTTAAACTCCTGCAGTACTTTCCAGGTTGCCAAAAAACATCTTTTCACGTATCTTAAACTAGCACAGCTAGGAAGTCTGCTCAGTCTGAACTATCACCCATGCTTCTGCCCTCCCTGCCACTCTTAAAGAGACATTGTTAAATGGAATTCAAACCTGTGAAAAATGTACTTCAAATCAACAATGTCTCAAGGGTGGTAACATATGACCCACACAAATAAAAGGAAAAAACCTATTTGCTCTTAATGTTCTTCACATGCAATTCATTTGAGATAATATGCAATTGCACATCTTTGTATCATTTCTATTTTTTTGTTTTGGAAAAGTGAATTAGTCACACTTTTGTACTCCTTAACAATGTGGTGTACTTTTAAAATTCATATGGAAATCCATTATTTTCCAGAGCAGTGTTAAAGCTGCAAAATTATTCTTAAAGCAATCATGGTTGTATGAAATGTCCCTCTATTTCTCTCACCATATTACAAGCTAGAACTAATGAGACTTTTTGAACTCGGTACTTTGTGCATCTTGCCTTAATCATTTTCTGTCAGATGCACTGCAGTCAGCAAGGGGATTACCATCTTGCAGAATTGTTGTATGCAGCATCTGCCAGAGAAGGATTTTCCTGATCCCTGTGACTGTCATGTTAGTAAAGGGAACACCTCAATGTAAAAATCTTCTAACTACAAACCCACTGCATCTATCAGTCATAGATGATATGCTGATGTCTTATTTGAGTTTGGTGAGGACACCATCTGTACTGCTTTAGCTCAGAACCAGGGATATGTATCACTTTCTTTGCAGATAACAAAAAGAGCTCTTTAGAGAAGTGCACATAAATCTGTATACAGGAAGGAAGGAATTGAACTCGCTTGGAAAATTTTATTGCATTCCACAGAAAGAATGTGCAGTTAAAAACAGAGAGAGAGAGATCAGAAGAACCAGAATATACTGGCAGCTATTCAGAGAGTGTATTTTAATGTACACCTACATGATCACATACTATTCCTCAAATAATGAATCATACAATTTATTTTCTGTCACAGTTGGGGCATATACAGAACACCACCACAAGATTCTCTCAGTATAAAGTCTGCCTCACAAATCCTCCAGGCTGGCTCATTCCCATAATTGTCTTCCTCCTCTCCTACTCCCAGGCTTCAGAGTTTCTCCAAAGACAATCTCATGATCACATGGACTTCCGCCACTATATATTGGTTCACTCCTCCTTCAGCTCTGCAATTTTCCTGGTCTCACAGCTCTAATTCTCCACTCTCTTTGACTCCCAAGACAAAAATTCCAGCCACCTCTTTGCCACCTTTGACTTCCTCCATAAACCCACCACACTTCTAGCACTCTCCTGCCTCTCCATACAGAATATTGCCAAATATTTCAGAGAAATTCATTGTGACCTTCTTACTCTCTCTTCCTCCTTCCATTCTATCTTATCTTTCCCATCACTGATGCTGAGGTTTCTCATCTCCTCTAAGTCCTCCACCTATTCCAGTGACCCTTACTCCTTCTGCCTCATGACCTTCCTTGTTCCCCACTTTCCTTCCCTTTTTCCTCAATCTCTCTCAGCTCACTGAGTGCACCATTAACAACTGCTTGCTCTCCCTTCCCAGCTCTGTGCTTGATTCCCCACCTGGTTCCTGACCCCTCAAATTTACTGAAACTATTCTTACCAAGGTCTCCAATTACCATTTCCTGGCCTCTTCCTCCTTGATTGCTCAGCGACCTTTGACACGGTCAATCATACCCTCCTTTTAAAAATGTCCCTCTTTTGGCTTTTGTGAATCTTGCCCCTCCTTGTATTCTTCCTTCTTCTCTGGTTGTTCCTTCGTTATCACATTTCTGTGGGTCCTCATCCTCTTTTGGTGGGCTTCTAATCCCAGAGGAGTCACTCCTCTTTGCTATTTACACCCTATCTCGGTATTACCTCATCTACTCATATAGCCTGAACTACTAGCTTTTGCCAATGGCTCACAAATCTACCTCTGCTCCTGATCTACACCC